CAAAGGCAAATCCGCGTGTCGCGTCTAACCTGTGTCCTGCAAAGACCTAAATGTTTTGCTGTGCTTCGCTGTGTGCCATCACTCAACACCACTAACAACAAGAACGACTGGACGAAAAAGGTAGGGTCTCGTTTAGCTCTAGACTCTAGTAATAGTATTAGTAGTATTAGTAACTATCAAACTATAGCCCGCGTACAGTTGCCGCAGGGCTATAGACTATAGGCCTAGAGCGTAACATGGCAAGTGCGTATGTCGGTATGAGTTTTATTCTCACAACTTTTAGCCTATAATAACTTCTTCGGCCCTATGCCAAATAAAACACATTCTGTGCCGGACAAATGTCTTAAGTTACTATGAACACTAAAATACAACAGCAAACTATCGCTTAAATATTGTATTTGCGATATTACTCACAGGCACTTGAAGCGTATCATTGTCAACTGTAAACACACGCCGCCGCCATTGCGCGTACACTGAGACACATCTACACTATATATTTATACACATATATATATATCACTATATATTTATGTGTCAGTGTACGCGCAATGGCGGCGGCGTGTGTTTACAGTTGATACGCTTCAAGTGCCTGTGAAAGGGGCTACCCCCACATTTACGAAAATGACATAGGTTTCAATGGGCTACATGTTCTCTATCCTTGAACCTATTACTCCTCAACGAAGATTGTTTATCAACTTGTAACCGCCATTTCTCACACAGTCCTGCGGCAACTGTACACGGGCTATAGTTACTAGAGCTAGGTCTCGTTATGGTCTCGTTCACTTTCGTTACCCTTGAATAATCACCTCTGGTACGCATAAACTGGATTACACACAATTTTGCGATTTCTCATAGGACTACTAATTCATGTTATATGTAATATATCCTATCATCCACATATTATCAGGAGCGTATACCCAGCAAACACGGAACATTCTCATAACATTCGCTGGAGGTTCTAGTTTGGTTACATTAGCCAAAAATATTCTAACAACATTCCCATATCGTTATGCATTTATTGGTTTTACTTGGCGAGAGAGTTATGTTCTTGGAATGTTCGGAAAACGTTAACCGTCCTCGGATGGGCACGAAAATTGCCGTTTTTATGATGTTGCAAACTATAGCACAGGTATCAAATGTATTTTTGTTCGCAGTGGCTACGGGGACGGTAGCCGTATCTTAATGTCTCGAGGTTACGGGGACGGTAGTCCATTTGCGCATGCATCGCTTTTCCACAAAATAATGTCGTTCACTAGCTATTAATTAATCTCCAGCCTAAGTAATTAATTAATTAGCTAGCCTACACTAGTTGTTTGGGATTGATTGTCAGTTCAGAAACAGTTCAGTTCAGTTTGTTATTGAAAGCCTAAGATTATATACACCATAGATTAATTTATCTATGTTTAAAGATGCTATCATATACAACTCGAGTCGCTTTATAATCTTCTTAACGGACTGTAATATATTAACTCCATATCAATTTGGATTTCGGAAATCTCACTCTACTTCACTTGCCATTTCTGAAATTTATGACAACATACTTGAATTAGCAGATAAAGGCAAATTAACGTGTGGAATATTCCTAGATTTATCAAAGGCATTCGATACTGTTCAACACAGTATATTACTAGGTAAATTAGAACATTACGGAATTAGGGGGGTAGGATTAAAGCTGTTTGAAAATTACTTAAAAAATAGGAAGCAGTTTACATCTATAGGTAATGTGAAATCTAATCTGGTTGATATTACGTGTGGGGTTCCTCAAGGAACTTTACTCGACTTTAGGACCATTGCTTTTCCTAATTTATATTAATGACCTACCTAATGCATCTGCCTTTAACACTAGATTGTTTGCTGATGATACCAATTTATTTATTTTGGAACATAACATAATGGATCTGGAAAATATAGTAAATGTGGAGATAGATAAGATGAAGAATTGGATGCTGGCTAATAGGCTCTCAATAAACTATGGTAAGACGAAATACATGATCATGATTCATATCAAATAACAAAATTAATAGAAACTTATTTAATATTACCATCGACAACCAGAGCATAGAACAGACACAATCAATAAAATATTTGGGTGTATATATAGATAATAATTTAAAATGGTCATCGCATAT